GTTTTGGGTTAAGTGGCAGTCTGTGGGAGTGAGGTTCGAACTCAGAACCTCTGGATTCCAAGCTCTACGCCCTAACCGCTAGGCCGCCACTCCCCCGTCATGATGAAACTGTTTCTGGGATAACACCTACCAACCCTGCACCATTTTTTCCCCCATCAGTTCTACATGATTCATGTAACCAAATTAATTTTCAAAACGAAGAATTTTAACGAATGTGAGTTATTTTCATGTCTGATATAGGTGTCAATGTTTTCAAAAAATCTTTTCTGCGTTTGTTAAGCTGATTTTAAAGTCAGAGTAACAGCCTAAATGCCCTGGTGAGAACACTGGCACCTCGAGAGGAGCCCCGTAGCTCAGGTGGGAGAATCTAAAGGGGAGGATGTTATGATAAACCCTGCATGGACATTTGTTATATAAAATACAGTGAATGAAAAGTGCGTTTCCAAAAAGCTGCAAGATTCCTTCCTCACCTTGATCAGGCCACCAAGGGAGCGCGAACGCGGGTGCTTCTTGCTGGCAGCTGGAGGGACCAGCTGGTTCTCGTTAGATGTCCCTGAATTAGTCTGTTTAACAAGCTGAAAACAGAAAACAAATGATGCTCAACGGAAGGTCTCTGTGCGTCTGACGATGAGCAGCCATGTTAAGGCCTCCATTGCAGGAAGATGGAGTCTAAAAATGATTCCAACCTGTCGGACGAGTTTCTTCTTCTTGGCAGAGTCGGGCATGTTGTGGTGAACGTGTCTGAAGAGGTCCTTCAGGGCCTCCTCCGTGTACTGCTGAGCAGGCGACTGACATTGTTCCTGGGAGGCAGGGCCCAGAACGGCCGTCCTCTTCAGAGGAAGTGCTGCCCGCTGGGTGAGAGGGCTGCTGACTGCCAGCAGGTCCAGATCATCCTGATAAGAGCACATAAAGCAGCCAGATGAGCAGACATGGCCGTTGTTTAAATGCATTTTGAAGTAATAAACTGATGGAAAGAGCAAATTTAAAATCACCTCTCTTAAATAAAGAGGAGACGGAAATCCATCGGTACGGCTTTCTTTAACAGTACATCAATAACTATGTAATAACATGGTGATAACGTAGCAAATTACACTATATTGCTACATAACAACAAACACTTGATGGAAAATTTTGGTAAATTATGTGCTTCAAATTTTAGGCAGACAAGGTAAAGTCAGACTTCTTAGATATCAAACCGTTATTACCATGTAACTCAGTCATTTCACCAATAAATATCCATCCATCCATCCATC